TACTTAGGGAGGGAGCCCAAAGGGGCTGTGTGTGGCTATGCCCCTGTTCCCCCTCCCCCCCCCACACCGCCTAGCTATTGCCCAGGAGTCAGATGCATTTTCTACCATCCCAGAGTTACTCCCAAGCTGCAAGGAGTCACCGTTGTCCAAAGGGGGCTGTGTGTGGCTATGCCCCTGTTCCCCCTCCCCCCCCCACACCGCCTAGCTATTGCCCAGGAGTCAGATGCATTTTCTACCATCCCAGAGTTACTCCCAAGCTGCAAGGAGTCACCGTTCATGTTGGAGCCCTGATCCCACGGCATCCCACTGCCTGGGACAGGTCACCAGCACCTGGTCTAGCTGCCCTCACTGCAGCACCTGGCTTTGGTGGGACGGCCGAGGGCAATGGATGAAAGGAGGGTGGGATTGATGTAACCTAAATGCAGAATGTAAACAGCCAAATCAAATCGCCCCGTCTGATGGTGGCGCACCTGCTCTGTGTAGATCTGTCGGCCGAGTCGTGCCGTCCGAAACATGCCGCTCTCCAACCCGCCCACCGCCATTTTCACGGGATGTTAACGTCATCACGCGGCGCGAACACGGAGCTAAAACAGCTCGAGCTGCTAATGCCAAACCAAACCAAAAATGAATTCTCAGAGGCAGCAGGGTTCGCTTCAGCATCTGAGGCTGGGACCCACACGCAAATAAGCACAGACCAGCCTGGAGCGGCATGAGGCTTTTACGCTACGTTATGAATGGCTGTCTCATTGATGTACAGTCCAGCCTCTCAGGACTAAGGGATCTGTGTTTCCCTCAGTGGGAGTGACACACAGCCAGTGGGGGCTCTGCATGAATCAGCATGCTTCAAAATCCATTTGAAAGATCAGCCCAATTTCCTTTCCACCCAGAAAGAAACATCAGGGCTGTGTCTAGACTGGCAAGTGTTTCCACAAAACCAGCTGCTTTTGCAGAAAAACTTGCCAGTTGTCTACACTGGCCGCTTGAATTTCCACAAGAACACTGACTTCCTACTGTCTGAAATCAGTGCTTCTTGCGGAAATACTATTCTGCTCCCATTCGGGCAAAAGTCCCTTTTGCGCAAAGCTTTTGCGCAAAAGGGCCAGTGTAGACAGCTCAGATTTGTTTTGCGCAAAAAAGCCCCGATCGTGAAAATGGCGATCGGGGCTTTTTTTGCACAAAAGCACGTCTAGATTGGCACAGACGCTTTTCCGCTAAAAGTGCTTTTGCGGAAAAGTGCCCGTGCCAATCTAGACGCGCTTTTCCGAAAATGCTTTTAACAGAAAATTTTTCCCTTAAAAGCATTTGTGGAAAATCATGCCAGTCTAGACATAGCCCAGCTGTTCTGAACAGCTGGCGGTTCCCACTACACACCTTTGACAGTGGGAGGAGACTTCACGCGCTCCCCCCACCCCCAAGCCCTGATTGGCCTGGGGGCAGCACGCAAAGTCTCTTCCCTCCCTAAGCGCCGTGCACTCCTTGCAGGGTGGGATACTTAGCTCATTTCCCCCACCCCCAGACCCTGATTGGCCTGGGGGCGGGGGGAGTGGCAGCACCTCCACAGGCCAGATCAACTTGCTTGGCGGGTTGGATCCGGCCCACGGAGGCCCTTCTGCCCACTCCTGCTGTAGCAGGAAGCCCAAGGCCAGGGGCCAAAAGAGAAGAGCTGTGCCAGCTGCAAGCACCCCCCACACACGCTCAGATTTTGAAAGCTGCACAGTCGCCTGAGCTGGAGGTAGGCAGGGCTTGGGCGGAAGGGACGGGGCTGGGGCTGGGGCTTGCCTTCCCCAGCTGGGCCTGATTTTTCCACGCTGGAGCCATGTGCCATGTGCATTTAGCTTTATTGCAGAAGCAGGTCATGCAGCTTGGCTGGAGCTGCTGCCTTTCCTGCCAGTTTGATCTGCCCTGTTGCCCCTGCAGCACATGTCCGGCCCCTTCCTGGCCACTAGCAAACGGCCATTATTGGAAGCAGACAGCAGCAGTACTTGGGCGTAGAGTGAACTCCCCCTCCCCCTTCCCCCAGCCAGGCCTGTGTGTGGCTCATCCGGCTCCCCCAAGAGCTGCCCTGGCGGCTCTAATTGCTCTGTTCGGAAAGAGAGCCATCCCTTTAAGCCTCCGCTGCCCTAACGATCCAGCAGGCGTCAATACACAAATGAGTCCCTGTGGGCCGGGAGCAGGTCAATGCTTGGCGCTCGCTCACTCTGGAGTGGCAGGCGCCAGCCCAACGCACGAGCACTGGCTCTGG